ACCATAGAACAATTTGAACATAGAGCCATAGAGCGCCATAGAGGTACGAACACTTCCAACTCTCATGACATCCAACAGGCCACTGCAGTGTCCCCATTGTAGGGTATCCATATAGTGCTCTAATTCTGCAATGCCGTTTTCCAATTACGTTAATAGCTCATAACACGACGGTTTTGTTTGTTGTTCTTCGCCTCGGACTCTTTGAGCTGGTTGAGCATTTTGTGGCACAATACGAAAATGGTTTCCTCGAATCGGTCATTCAGTCGAAGAATACCAAACAATATGTAGCGCCCTCTCGGCATAGAAACTCCCACAAATACCATGAAATGGGGCTATACGTTTATGTAGATCTCTCTCTCTCTCTCTCTCTGTCTCTCTCTCTCTCTATTGTGTGGCATATTTTAGCTGACTTTGAGTTTAAGAAGAATTACGACGCAAGGCACTTAAACGAATTGCTGCTGCTGCGGCTACTGGTGATGCTGATGCGTGTGTTCTCCAGTTCTTTGCTTGGGCCATAACATTTTTATGATCCCGATTGATAGTGCGAAGAAATTCTATATCCAAGCGCCCACTAGAACGTGCACGTGTAGTGTCTCTACGAAGTGTACATACTCTCAGACAGAGAGCAGGTTCGCACCTGCGGAGCAGTGAAGTTTGACAGTTGGATCTGATTTTGATCGAAACCAAATGCAGTTGTCTGGTGAGAGCTCTGTCTCCTTCTTTGTCTCTGTTCTAGCCATGGCTTTTGTTTATAGAATTTCGAAAACGAAACGAAAGTGTTTGGCATCCATTAATCATGGAACGCACCAATTGCTCGGGATTCATGAACACTCTTCTTCTCTTCAATCGTTTCGCTTTTATTGTTTTTTAAGCAAGTGAAGGCAACTATTCAGCGGCTTCGTCAGTGTCTATTTTCATTTAATAGACATATTTGCCTCACGACTGGATTTTGCTTTGTTTATTTGTTGAATCAGCCCGTCAAACCCGAACGGAACGTCAGTCAGCCTCGGTAGGTAATGTGTTAACAGAGCAGATAAGTCTCTGGGCCGCTGCCCTGGGACTTGAGCGCAAACATTTTGACAACTTGTGAACTTTAGACTGAAACAATCAACCCAGTCCCAGTACTCTCTCCCCTCTCCCCACCCTTCTGTAAGCACTCGGGGTATTGTATCATAAACCATAAACCACAAAATCCCCTACAACAATTAAGGAACAATCCCGAGACTGCTGCCGAAATCTCGTGCCCCTCTGCCACTGCCCCACACAGATTTCAACGAAAAATAACTCGGAGATGTATAAACAAACAGAAAAAAGCGCCAAGCAGAATCACCCAGAAGCATCATCATCATCCGAATCATCCACAGCGATTAGCCCATATACTAGCACGTGGAGAGCTATCGGATCGAATCGGATCGTATCCTCGGATCGAGATCATCGAGTCATGAGATGACAAATGATGAAGATTTATTTACATTGTATAATATTCAAAATATTCCACGGAAGGACTCGTAATACACAACTAAATACAATATATCATACAAAAAATGTGTTCCAACATGATGTTCATCTGGTAATCTAATTAATTAACGACTGGGGTTTAATGTGGAAAGCTTGAAAGCTGAGTAGGTGATGAGACGGGCAAACAAAGTGACGGACAGGTAAACAGGCAGACAGGGGAATAGGCGGAAAATGGGTAAGCGGACAGAAAGGAACCAACGGATGTATGTATGAACAAACTAAGAGAAAAAATTTGACGTTGGACAGAAAAAAAGCAGAATATGTCATGCGTCATGCGGCAGGTTTCGGCCTGGCATGGTGTCACTTGGGCCACGCCACTTGGCCCACAAATAGGCCTTATAAACGGGAACTTTATGAAGCTATGTACTCCCATCTCTGTCAATCACTTTCTTCGACCTTTACCCATGCTATCACCTTCAACATAACTCTCACTTTACGTACAATCGCCAGTGGATGTAGGCCAGTGGAGTCAGATGGTATGGTAAGGGGAATACACCTCTTTTGAGAGGCAGCAGCTCGAGATTAGCACGCCATATAGCCCAGACTTTTGCTGACTGTTTGACTGACTAAGCTTTTGGTAGCTGCTTCTGCTTCTGCTCCGAGAGTGAGGAGCTCTGTGAAATCTTTTATTTTTATGGTATTTGAGAATGATTAGCCGAACAGATAGGAAGACGAAGCGTTATTACGCGAACGTGTCTGGAGATGAAGATGAAGTCTATGGACAGCCGCGAAGATACAGATGCAGATACACAGATCGGAGCAGCGAACAGACTCTGAGGATTGGACAGTGGGACAAAATGGCACTGGAACTGTGGGAGGAGAGTGGCACAATTCTCTATGATCATCCAACTTCTCTTGTTTTTCGTGTATGTTTCTCTTTTTTTTCTCTTCTTTTTTTCCGCCATGTGGGGCCGTCATCAGTAGATATAATTTTGTTTGTTCTTACCTGAGGCTAGCGTGGCCTAGCCCAACAACTGGAGAAAAATAGAGCGAGAGAGAGAGAGAGAGAGAGAGAGAAAGAGAGAGAACGCAGCGACAAGCCCAGATACAAAGTCGCTAACCTTTTTTTTATCATCGGAGATGTACACGAAAGAAAAAAGATGACAAGTTTGTCGCGTGTAAACAATTTGCGGCGGCCAAAAAGAGAGTCCCCGGGTGCGGGTGCTGGTTCTGGTTCTGGTTGTGGTTGTGGTTCTGGAGGGATAGCAGAGCAATGTCATGGAAACGGAAATCAAGAGGAGTGATGTCAGGCCCTGGGAAGCCCGTCCCACAGTGAGTAAGGAAAGTCTATGTAGATAGCCATAAAAAGAAAGACGTATAAAGGTTGTGCGTTCCTCCAAAAAAACAGGCATACATTTTAAAGGTAGAAAACTATCTTGCAGCCGAAATTAACTAATAAATGTGTTATCTGTATTATAAAGATACTCGATCCTCATGATTCATGCCATCAGTATATCCCTCCGAAACCCACTCGGTTCGCATACAATTCGTAGGAACTATAGGAGCACATACGAGTATTCCCCAAACTTAACACAATCTTACAGATACACTAGAAAATATCTCAAAAATCAACACAAATCTAGAGGCAACGCCGACAGCAACGCGACAGAGATGTTGGCGTCGCGCGATCGCATTTTAGGAATATGTACTACATTTTGAGTGCTCGAGGAACGCGCATGAGTGAAATAAATTTTCACGCTTCTAAACAGAGAGTGAGAGCAGCAGCAGCAACGGCAGCAGCATCAACGGCAGCAGCAGCAACGGCAGCAGAGGAAGAGACTTTTTCGACTGCGACGTATCACAATCAGAAACGATCCGACATCCGACAACCGACCGCCGACCGAAAGCCGACAACTGCCGTCCATTCATAGCCCCACTGCCACTCAGATAGAGTGGAGAGTGGAGAGTGCCGCCAAACAACCCACAACCCCCGCACACACGCCAGACGCCAGACGCAGATCAGTCCGAGACGAGACCAAGTGAGATCTGCTTGTGGTGGTGCCTCTGGCTTCTGCCTTCTGGCTTCTGACGAGAACGTTTCGAAAGTGTTTCGTTATTTATTCGCGTTTCCCCGAGCGAGAGGTTTTTCGCGATCGGAGGTGGAAATTACACACAGATCGCACAGATCACATTTTCGGGGGAGAGAAATCTTCACGTTCTAGAATGACTCGGAAAAATATCCCTCAGAGCATTTCGAACTGCGGCGGGCAACGGTCAAGCGATCAACGCGAGTGTTTTTTCTGATTCTGCCCCGATACTGAGGAGAGGATCGATCGGTCGACAGTTCTTTTTCAATATACGATACATAAATATACACGTATATAAATATTTGCCGTGTGTGTGTGAAATGTTGGTTCGTTTGGGTTCCCTTAGGCCACGGGCTGGGTGCTGAGAAGAACATGGGAAAAACGGGCGCAAAGGATTCGCCAAAGAAACTACAACGAAATTAACAAAAAAATCGAAACCGAAAAGGAAAAGGAACAAGAATAAAACCAACCAAAAAAACCAAAATAAAAAGTGAACAAAGAAGAGTCGCGCGACTCGCAGTTCCAACATCAGCCTCGACTTTGACTCCGACTTCCACTTCGACTTGGACTTGGACTTGGGGTTCAAGAAGCAGAACAGATGAGGCAGAACTCTCTCAGGAACCTGGGATCTTCTGGTGCTGCTGCCGGGATTCTGATTAAAGCGCGCGTTTAATTTCATTTTTTACGCTACTCCCTGCCCCCCGCCCCCCGCACACACCCTGCCCAAAAGCGATCGTTACCAAAAGCCAGACTCCAGACTGGGACTCCACCCTTGGCGGAAGGCTTTTGATTCGCTGTTCAACTTTTTGGCCTGAACTTTTGCTTTGTTTCGTACGCCGTTCGTCTGGCTGGAACCTGCTGGCCCGACGACTCCTTGGCTGGCTGGCTCCTTGGACGCTGCTCAGTACGCCGGCAGCTTTCTCCGTGTGCGTACGAGACTCACGCAGCAGCAGCACTGATCTGAGGCAGCGGCCGCATCATCGTCATCCTCATCGGCCACAAAAAAGTGAAAGAAATCGCGTTCAACAGAAGAGGCAGGCAGCAGCGATCATCCAAGATCATCCAAGATCGGTTCAGATCGGAGTCGGAATCGGAATCGGATCAGGCAGCGATCATGTCGCCTGACCTCGTCAAGTGCACTGAGCTGCCAACCGCCGACTTCCCCTCAGAGTTTAAGTAAAAACCCACAGCCCACAACCCACAAAAGTACAAAAAAAACAAAAAAGAACACCGTGAGTCGCTTGATTAATTCGCACACGTCAACGATATTCAAACAAGCATCTCGTGTACTCATCGTGGCCGCAATAAAAACGGCTTTAACTTTAACTGCCTGCCAAAAAAATATATAACACTTAAACACAGAGAGAGAGAGAGAGATACCCACACAGAAAGAATACGAGTACGAACGGGCCAGAGTTTGGTTTGTTGCCGCTGCATTTGGCGGCTTCAATCGATATGCGTTTGTTCATGGTAATTGCAATTTTAATATTCGCAATGCCAATGACTGGATTCGGCTGGTAAGTGTTTTGGCAACATTGCCTACAAGACTTGACTCAGTGGTAAACGGTAGTTAAGGATGATGATGATCTATGTAAGAGTGAGTTATCAAGTAGAACGAAAGATAAAGACCCTTAAGATAATCGCTACTCAGCTGCAAGTTCAAGGAGGAAGACTTTAGGTTTGAAGATGATCGCTATAGAAGTAGTGCAGTAGAATTTAAATGTGTATCAATCTGTGCTATGGAAAAAACCACAGACGACTTAAGGCCAAAATCCCAAGTTAAAGGTTAGACGTAGTTATAGAAGTGGGAGAAGACTTGAATTTATATTTATATTAACGATAAACACAGATGTTCAAGAACCGAATTTATGGACCTATTGTGATTGATCCTTCTGAATAAAATAATCAAAAATTTCCCATGGAGAAGTGAGAAAGTAATACCAAAAGAGATCATGATTTTTTCTTACAAAAATATATAAGTAAATATTTAATAATACACATAGTCTCTCTAGTTTGTTTATTGATCGTAAAATATTTGGGAATATTTTGGAAAAGTTTAAATAAGTATTGATTGATCTATAATTAGTTTTAAGCAAGTGTTTGCTAGATTTTCTATTTGGATGTTTTACTTTTGGGGAAGATCAGTGATGGATGAATGGATTTATGTACTTATATGTAGATTATGTTAAGTCAGTCTAAAGGAATGCTGTGCTCATTTAATTACATCTTTTATGAGGTATAGATGTTCAAAATCACTCATCGGAATCTCTTAGTCTATCCTCCACTACTAATTATATCTGATATAGTATAGCTAACAAAGTATCATCGATTTTGCCTGAACGACGTGCAATTTATGCTGTATTTCAATGCCAAAAAACCCATTACCACCCGCTCTGAGGTCTTTGCTATGGCTATGCCTGTGGCTACCTCGCCATCTGTGTTCATGTCAAATCGCATCAATTTACGAGATAGAGATTGGCGTAACAGCTTCCGGTAGAGCGACACAGTGCAAGCCCAAAAATAGAGCCGAAAATAAATTCAGTTTGGTGACTCAAAGGCGGCAAAAAGCGATCAAATGGTCAGAATGCAAATGCGAATCCAAATTCAGAGCCAATCGAGCGTGGCGACCCAACGAACCGACGTCCGATGTCAACGGATGGAGGACCTTCAAAATGTGACGTTTGATTTAGATTTAATTACATGGCATTTTCTTCTCGTTGCAATGGTTTTTTGTGGCCAAAATAAACAACGATGAAGAGGAAAAGTGGCAGTGGTAGCAGCAGCAGCAGCAGTAGTAGATGAAGCCAAAACCAAATGACACTTGGAGCAATTTATGCGCGAAATTACAGACGAAAAGGCAGACGTCCAAGATGAATAAATAAACAAGCCGAGGAGGACAAACATCAAATAGAAAGAAAAGTGTTGCCCAAAAGATAGATCGGCGGCCAGGGGGGGCAGGGGAACTGTGGCATGCACACATAAGTTATGCACTTTGCCAAATTTATTTGCCACCAAAGAGTGGCATCAATGAATTCGGCCCAAAGAGATCTCTCTGCCCAGCGAAAAGGTAGAAATATTGTTGCTGTCAGCGGCAACGAAAGCTAAAATTTTGATTTCATTTTTCACCACATCGTCGGGTGGGAGGGGCAGTGGAGTACACAGCGTGGGCGTGGGCGTCGCGTGTCGTAGACTGCATGACGATTTCAGTGGCGATTGTACTGTAGATTTGCAGTACTCTTGAATAACACGTAAACCTCACGATTTTGGTTTAAAGTAAGAACAATTTTCGACCCGCAGCAGTACGATACCAGACTGTTCGCGTGATCCTTTCACTTGTGGGAAATTAGTACAGCGCATCAAAGCCCGACTGACTGCAGCATACCCCCATGTTCTTACATCATTTTTATTTGAACTGTGTGCAACTGGGCGCGTCAACGTTCCCCCCGCCCGCCATGACAGAGAGGCCACCTGCATCATAAAAAAGGTGGTGCGACAGAACCAAGGGGCAGGACCAAGGGGCCCATCTGGGTGGGTTGCGTCTGCTCCATGCACCGGCCCACGTCAGCAGTGGGCAGCCGTTGCGTTGCATCCAATCCAATTGCAACTTTTTCACAATAAATTAATTAAATAATTAAAGCTCAAGTTCAACGCTGTCAGTTGGTGCCGCTTTTGATGTCGAACGCTGAACGAGCTGTGTCCGATGCTGTCGCGCCACCACCCGAAAGAAAGAGGCACTGCACTGCACTGCACTGCACAAAAAAAGGCCCCAATTGTGCAGCCTTTGGCTTTGGTTGTGCCACTTTCTACGCTTCATCTGTGCCGCCCAAGGGCGGGGCGGGCAGACAGATCAGAATTGTGGCGGCGACAAAAGTTGCTGATGATGACAGCCACAGCCACCAGGCCTTGACGGGCGACATACTGACTGATGGACGAACAAGGTGGAAGAGCATACATATATGTGGGCCGATTGAGGGTTGGGTGGGGTCTGGTCAGGTGTGCTGGGGGTCAAGGCTGTACCTCCATATCGAATTCTAATCAAACTATAAAATTAGAGCTAATCCAAACCAAAAGATGCTAAAATGCGCAAAAACCCATCGATAGGCCAACGATATACATATCTATCCATGGTATTGTATGTATTCATTCAGAATTCCATTCAGAATGGGTTCGGTGCTGGCATCCGGGGACTGGGCCTACATCCACAGCCACATACTCTCGTACTCGCATGTCGTGATGGCGATTGGCGATGATTGTTTGTGTGTATTTTTCCAAGCAAAGTGCACTAAATCAAACGGTCATTGTGTGAGCGATTGAGATCGTAATCAGTGGACCAGACGGATCCGAATGAAACGTATTCGAATTGTGGGTGTAGATGTTCCGTTAAATGAATGGAAATTCCATATGGACGGCAGGGGCTACGAGTCCGAGTATAACCAATTACAGAGAAACTTACAAAAAATTGCTGTGGATCGGGCCACAATTTTGCGCTGATGTGTCTGGAATTTAATTAAAAACAGCCCGAGACGATGATGCTGATGATAATGATGATACAAGCGATGAAGATCGTCTAACGATTTATGAGATCCTCACCAATGTGATTTTCCGTCTCTATTCCTTTCGAAACGCAAACGCAAATGAGCTCATTTCCGCTTTCAGAAAAGCGCTTGACATTTACATGGGGACTGTCCGATTGTGTTTCCTGCTTTTCATTCAATTTACATTTTAGATTTTCATTCATTGAAAATCGGTTCATTCATTCCACATCGAAGAGTCTCTGTGTGGCTTTTTTTTTTTTGGCACTCACAGCATGTGAAATGGTAATTAATGCCATGCGGGGCATTTATGGGTTAAGGCAGGGAGATAGACACACAGAGAGAGAGAGAATGAGAGAGAGAGAGGGTGAGACAAGAGGCCACTTAGTCTCAAGCTGCGTTGGCTCCACAGTCGGTGGTTGCATCAACATTGTTCATACGCCCCGTGGGTGGGTGTGCGTGTCAGTGGAGCAAGCCAGAAATCTCATGATGAACAGAACAGAATTTGGCACACTTTATGAGACCCAAACACCCCCAACAACCAGACAGAACCGAACTACTGCTCGTGCACCAACAACCTAATAATTATGTTCAACTAACGAGCAGACGAGCAGAGGAGCAGAACTCGGCCAATTGCCAAAATCTAATGCAGATGAGTTGATTATGAGCAGAAAAGAAGAGTCTCTGACACGATTCGGTCGACATTAACGAGAGTCTCACTGTCTGTGATGCCTGATGGTTTACCTAGAGAAAGTTCCTCTTTTGCATCGGACAAAATGTGGTTCACGTTCAAGTTTCTTGCCCCAGCCCCGACCGCGACCTCAACCTCAACTTCTCAAGTAGCTACCAAGCAAGACATGCTGAAAATTCTTCTAATTAAACACATGCCATTTGTTTATTTTGTTAATTTGTCGCTTTCCCCACATGTCACATTGACGAATGCGTCTGTCTGTCTGCGCTGAACGCTTGATGCATCATAATTAAATCGCATGATGGCACAAATATCAACAAGACATGGGTCAAGTTGGAGGACAGGTACGGGCTAGCAGGTCTCTAGAAAACGTTCTTGTCATCGTCTAAGGGTGGAGAATAGTTGGGAATTGGCTTTGGAGAATATGGATTGAATGCTTGTTGCTGAAAGAACAATGGGAACTTGGCAGAAACCCTTTATATTATCGTAGAAGGTGCAGATCCCACCTTAAGGTTTTGTTCTGCAACGGTATTATGTATATATCTGGACGATCATGGGTAGTAGGAAGTGGTAGTATCACAAATGCTTAACATTTTTTTGAACATTGTATTTATATAAACTGCAACCACAAAAGCTACTCATTTGTGTAGATTTCTTTGAATCATGATCCTCCAGCTCAACATTATGAGTATTTCTTTTATCAGCCGCAATGGCTCCATTAGATCCTCATATAATCTTCCCCATTATACTCTCATATCAACATATTTTCCTCTGTCAAATGTCCCAAGAACTCTGAACCTGAACCTCTCTTTCTCTCCCACCAATCATTGTGATTAAGTACACTTTAGGCATCCTTGACATGAACATGACCATGTCCGTCGATGATGATCATCGCAATGCCTAGCTACGCCTATTTGAGCCATAATTAAGTTAAACGTTGTCGCAATTTGCGCACCTCGTAGCCACAGAGCCACAAAGGCACAAAACGGCAAAGATTGATGTCACCTTTGTCTTTGTCTTTATCTTTGGAGATGGAAAGGGAGTTGCAGCGTTGATGCGAAAGTTAAAGTCGTGCCCTGCCCACTGCCCACTGCCCACTGGCCACAGTACTGGCAGCTTGTTAAAGGAATGACAAAGGCCTCGCTGCAGCGCTCAGAGGAAGGGAATAGTAAATATGCCTGAAATATTAGCTAAGTTTTTGCTGCGCCAATTGGACATGGACATGCCTGGGAACCTGAACGCTGAAAAGAAGGAGAGAAATTCCTGCGGTTCCCCAAAAGATTCGGATAGTCAACCACTCCGAGAGGCGGCGCCTAAGCAAAGGGTGAAGCCTGTTAATATGCTAATTGCCAAATGACAAACATATCTCTCCCCCTTCCCTCCTCTCCTCTGCTAACCGACAAAAAAAAGGTGCCAAAAAGCAGCGTGCGACGCCCACACACGATGCCGCACCCACCAGGGTCCACCGAGAGCAGATCTGATCGGGGCAGACGGGGACTCTAAGTCATGTCAACACCTTTTTCGGGGTGTCTTTTGGCCAGTAGCTGTGCAACTTCTGTCGGCTGCTGTGGGACACTAATCGATTGTCAATGCTGCCGCCCACATCAAAAGCCAGAGCCCCAAGCTTCTCTCCTGCATATGTGTACGTATACGTATATGTGTCTCGGGGCATTGGAATATCCGTAGTTATATGCACAAGAGATCAACACTTGCGCTGAGGCATTCTGTAGACAAATATTTGAGCGCGTAAATGAAACTGACCAGCCACAACAGCACTTGACTTGGCCAAGGCAGGCAGAGGCAGGCGGTTCAGTCGATTCAGTCCGTCCAGGCAGTCAGCCAGTCAGCCAGTCGGTCCGGGCCATCAGGCAGCTCAGGCGACCAATCCATTGGCCATTCATTCACTTGTCAACGCTTTGTTTAAATACTTTGCCACTCGCTTGTTGACAAGTGGTTTAAGTCGTTGATTTGTTTGCACTAACCCACGGCGGCACGGCGGACAAGAGACTCACGAAAATGAGTCAATCAAACGATTCTACATATTTACATAAAAGAACACAAAGAGAAGATCTTCAGATGGAGTTTGAAGTGCAACGAAGCAGGGATACTCTTGTGGGAAGACCCAGAGAATATGAGAGAAAAGGAATGTTCTTGGGATTATTTCTTCAAGGATATTAACAACCATTATGACGTACAGGTTTCCTCTTGTTGAAAGACATAATTGGTGTATTTTGTTTTAAAATAAAAATTCAGAAAGTTAAATGCATTTTTAACAAATTCTGAATTAATGAAACTACTCTAAAGTATAAATCATAGATTATATATTGCATATTGACAACAATACAATGTTTTAGCACTTACCCCTTATAGAAGATCTTCAATGCACACAAAATCCGCTTTTCTTGGCTTTGCCTACGAGTATTAGGTGACAGATAGGCAATCCAGAATCCGTTTGAAACCTTTTTGATTTAATCGTGCTCATGATATGCATTTTCCTGCATATGAAGATGTATGAAAAGATAACTAGATTAGACTATAGATATAGATATAGATATAGATATAGATATAGGAATAGATATGGATGTAGATATAGATATAGATATTGATATAGTTATAGATATAGATATAGATATAGATATAGATATAGATATAGATATAGATATAGATATTATAGATTTATAGATCGAAATACAATCTTAGTAATATTTACTTATGAATTCAATCTCTGGTTTCAAAGTAGATAACAAGTATTATTAGTGGTGCTGGAAATAGTGCCAAACACTTTCCATTTTGTGCATTACACACTCCAGGATATACCAGAGATACTCTAACCGGGGAGTAGGAGTATCCCAAACGCAGCTGCGAGCTCTGCATCGAGTATCGAGTACTCGGAGTACTCGGAGTACTCGGAGTACTCGGAGTACTCGGAGTATGGGGTATGAGATGGTATGGGAAATTTCAACCACTTGTCTGTTCGGAGGGGCTACCATTCCAAACCAAACCAAACTAAACCGGGCACTTTGATCAGAGGCAAGGCATACGAAACGGCGAGAGAGAGAGAAGTCCATTGAGGCCTATAACGACACCCATACCGAGGCAAACACTCGCGCACACCGCACACACAGATGCCCACATGCACAACAGAGGCACACTTGGAGTTTCGTATCTGTGTGTAAAGGCAAAATAAAGATACGTTGCGAGCCAAGTGTTGGCTTGGCCGCTGGTTCCGATGGTTCGGGACGGTATAAGATGGGGAATGGGTATGGGGATGGGACCTGAGAGACCTGAAGTTGTTGGCTCCTTTTCATGTTTGCCGACTGCTGGTGCGAGCGGCGCTGCTGCTGCTGCTGCTTCTGCTGCTGACGTCGCTGCTGTATCTGTATCTGGTGCTGCTGCCAAGTAAACTTCAGTTCAACTTCAAAAACCAAAAAGTGTCGAACAATTCGGAATGGACGATCGCTCAGTGGATGGATCTCTGCAGCACTCTCCTGCTCCACTCGCTGTGCGGCTATTTTCCGCTTAACACAAAAATCTCTGCCTTGTTTTTTTTTGTTGCTGTTGCTGTTGTTTTTTGTGTGGTGGCAACTTGTGTGGTTACGTACTCCCTGCAACACGCTTGAAAGGTGTTTGAGTTCTTTAGATCTCTCCAGTCATCAACGCAATGTGCATCATAATTTTCGAAGTAGCAGCCAGTCAGCCAGTCAGCCCGTCAGCCAGCCATAGATGAAGATCAGAAATCGTAGATCGGTGTGATCGGTGAATCGGTGGATCGGTGGATCGCTGATCGGAGGAGATTCCATATGATGATCATTGTGATTTTAACTTCAATTGTTTTTACTTTGTTTACAAGCACGTCCATCATTTGATGTTGTTTGACTGTTTGCCGGATGAGATCTGTGTCTGTGTCTGTTTCTGTTTCTGTTGCTTTATCTTTGGAGTTAATATTTTTATTTTTGTTAAGTACTTATGAGCCAAGAGGTAGCGTACGAGTGCGAGTACGAGTGCGTGTGTTTGCTCTATTTGTTATTTGAATTTTTCATTTTGTAGCTATTAAGTTGTCATAATCTCCTTGAGATCGAATCACTGTGTCCGTGTGTGCGTGTGTGCCACAGGGTGCTGCAAGCTGGAGCCAACCAGCCAGGTGGCAAAACCAACATAGGTGGGCACTGTGGTAATGGAAATCTGAAGCTGTTCAAGTGGTTTATCTACTTGTGGTCCAGCAAAAAGGGAAGCAAGAGTCAACTGGTTAGCAGCTATGGTGGAAATGCCATGCCTATCAGAGGCTGAAGAGCGTAGAAACACAGTTTTAGATAGAACTGTGCAACTTTTTGGCTGGATACTGGTGCGCATCACATAACATCTGACTTTTGTTTGAATTCAAGTGCTGACACTGGGGACCTTCTTTGACCAGAGCTCACATCAGCACTTTCGGATGAGCGAGACGAGATTCACGTGTTGGTACTGTAGTAATCGTAACTTACTTCTTTATCCAGAAGATCCAGAAGGTAAATGATTAATATACGGGCTATGCTCTAAAAAAAAAAAAAAAAAGAACCGATGATGGACTGTAATTTATGAAGAATTTACTTGCAAAAAACTTTTTGGCCGTCATTTAAGGCGTCTTTTTTAATGGCTTTCAGTTTCATTTTTTGCCCATACAAAATGTAAACATAATCCCGAAAGAAACATCTTATATTGTAGCAAGTGGAGGAGCATCTCCCAGAACAACTAACAACTTGTAAAATGCAGATTCTATTTCTCGCATAACAATTTTGATTCACAGATCACTAAATTGTTAACATTTATGTGTAAGCTTTGCACTTATGAGACGTGTGGCGCCATCATTCCGGGCACAAGTTCATTAAAAATAGTATTATTTATTTGTGCTGCTTAGCTGAAAATCTACGTTTATTTTCTTAGAATGCACAAATACCCAAATCCATAAGATGAACTCAATTTTTCGTGCAATTTTTGGGCCGTACACCAGACGTATACGCAATGGCGACGTCGACGGCTACGACGAAGAGGTCCTCGGCCATTGAATGGAATCGTTTGTTGATTTAAATCTGCAGCGTTGCCAAAGTCGATCAATAAAATTTCACCAATACTCGGAACGAAAAAGCCCCCCATAGGCAGACACTCACACTCCCACTCCCACACCCTCTCCCAGATTTTTCGTAATTTTCCCAATCGATGCAATTTTCGTTTCGTTTTCATTTTGAATGCCATTTGGCGGGGGCTGCAGCGTTAAAATTTAATTTAGGTGGAAAATTAATAATTACCCAACAATGTGGGTGCAGTGGAGCATACACACATACAAACATATATATGTGGGTGTATATTGTGCTATGGGAGGGGAGGGGTATGGGTATGTGTCAGCATTCAGCATTCAGCATTAGCATCGGGCCACTGGAAATTGTTTCTCTGGTTGCTCGCCTTTGGCGTTGATTTATGTTTTTCCATTTCAGATTTATGACTTTTTAATAGCTCAATTTTTGTTGGTTTTTCTCCGGTTTTTGTAGCTGTTGTTGCTATTGTTGTGAATATTTTTACTCGCTTTTTTTCAAGATTGCACATTCGCGTGAAATTTACTTTTGCTGATCGTGAACTTTGCGCCGAGTGCTCTCTTCCTCCGCTCTGTAGTGTGGAAAGTGTTTGGGTTTCGGTTGAGGTTGAGGGTAAATAAAGCATTTAATAGGGCCTGCTGCTGGCTGCTCGCTGCTGGCTGCTGCTCTTTTGCTTGAACTAGTGATTGATCGGGTTGTCCATCATCTATTGCTTCCAAGGAATTACTTTTTCTGGTATTTTCTGTTTCAGCCATAAAAGTGAGGGGGGGAGTACCAATACGAATGCGTGTACTATACGTGAGTCAGTCGGCGAAAAGGAAATCAGTGCCAGACATCGGTAAACTTCAAAATAAATGAGGGTTTTGCGCAAAAATTATTCATCGATGACAAAGTGCCTTCCCCGATAAATACGAGTAAAGCCTTGGGGAAGGCAAACCCTTAAAAAATATAAAAGTTGGTCATAGATAATCGGTTGTGACGTTCAAACATACGATATTTGTACAGATTAAGGTGTGGTATAGGTTGTAAATATAAGGAAATAAATTGCAAATATAATTAGTCAGAGCTGGAGACAATACAAATCTTTCTAGAACAGAAATTGAATCACTGCTTTCGTTTTCAGTTGATAATTATTGCAACTAAAATATTCTCCATAATCTCCTTTCAGGGCCGAGGGCACAAACATCCTACTCGATCCAAATCTAATGTGCAAAAAGACACGTCGCCTGCGTGGAAAGCTGGCCGAAATCTGCCGTCACGATTCGGCCCTGCTCAAAGAGATCATCAATGGCATTAATCTGGGCTTCCGCGAGTGCGAATTTCAATTTCGCAATCGCCGCTGGAACTGCACGGTCCTGCGCAAGAGCATGAGGAAAATTTTAATGCGCGGTAAGTACTCGTACGAGAACGATTAAACAAAGACCGAAGACTAGAGCAAACCAGACCAAAATGTGACTCCTCTCCTTTGATATGCAGTGCGAACAGGCAACCTGTCAACACTCGCGACTCTCGAAGACCGAGACGGAGTCCAAGTCCCAGCCTGAGTCAGAGACCAGGTGGAGATGCTATAAAGAGTTAGCTGCCTAATTACAACTCATCGTTGCATGCCTCGTCCAGGCAGGGGACTGAGGACTGGGGACTGGGGACAGGTGACCGCATCATCCATCAAGTTACATAATAAAAATGCAGCGATCCGCGCTGATGAATAGCGCCTGAAATGAGCCTACAAAGCTGTCAATTTTAATAAATTATTGCACTGAGAAAGGAAGGCCAGAGGAAGACTCGGGCTCGGCTTGATCCTCGGAGACGATCTCTGCACTTAATGACAACAATGCGCAAACAAAGCTCGTACCAAAATGTTGTGTGCCATAAATTCCGCGGGCGTAGCCACCAAAAAATACACCGTACACCGATGGAATTCAAGCCTCGCCCTGTCAACCTGTCAGCAGAGAGAGGACGAGTCTCCTCTCATGTAACACTCCGTTTGGGGTGGCTTCCCAAGACATATCACCTGTCCAGACCGCTTGGCGGCTACACAACACGTCACCTCTGCCAGGGGGGAGTTCTGTCAGGGGCGGGGGGTAGCCTCAGGTCCGGGGAGCATTACAAGCGTATGCAAATTAAAACTCTGGCCGATTACAATTGCGATTCCGATTCGATTTCGATTTCGTTTTCACTAAAACGTGACTGTCCGCCGATGAGCTGGCAGTCGGCGTCAGCGGACTCGGTCTTGAGCGACTGTGATTTGCATAGAGCAGCAATCGCTGATCGGTGACTGCTAATCGAACAAGTAATAAATCATTTTGTCGCCTTGGCTGACAAATTATAATCAATCAGGCAACACGTGCTGACAACCTTAATGATTGGAGGGGATTGATTTAAGTGCGGCAGTTGAATGATTGCGAAAGTAAGGGATTGCTTAGAAAGAGGGATAATGACATGGATTGACACGAGTATGACATGGAAATAAGAAAGGAATGGTTTCTAAGGGTTCGCTAAACCGATAACTATCAGAATAGAGCAACACATGTCGATAAATTCCCGATAAAGATAAAGGTCTTGAATATCTTTTCCATTCCCCCTACAGATTCCCGCGAAACAGGCTTCGTGAATGCCATTACAGCCGCTGGTGTCACCTATGCCGTGACCAAGGCCTGCACCATGGGCCAGCTGGTGGAATGCTCCTGTGACAAGTCCCACATGCGACGGAATGGCGGACAGCCGCAAATGGTAAATGCCGCCACCGCCGAAGCGGCCCTGGAGCGGCAGCAGCGGCAACAGTTTTCCCTCGAAGAACAGCAATATCAACGGCGCCAGCGGTACCTCAACAACGGCAGCAGCCTGACGGATGTGTCACCTCTGGAGCGTCTGGGCAGGAATCGCAAGCCCGGAGCTGGCGGCAAGCGAGGGCGTCGCAAGTTCTGGGACAACATCAAGTTCCCCCAGGGGGAATGGGAGTGGGGCGGCTGCAGTGACAATGTGAATTTCGGTCTTCGCCATTCGAGGGTGTTCCTCGATGCCAAGCAGCGTCAGAGGCGCAGCGATCTGGGCACGTTAGTGAAGCTGCACAACAATAATGCGGGGAGATTGGTGAGTAAGCCCAAGGGGACGGAGCTACAGAATACCTCCTTTAAAAACCATAGTTCATAGCGGATACATGGCTCTACCTCGCTCTTACTCCCTTACAGGCCATTCGCGATGCCATGCGATTGGAATGCAAATGTCATGGTTTATCCGGATCCTGCACCGTGAAAACATGCTGGCTGAAGATGCCCCCGTTCCGGGAGGTGGCCGCACGCCTGCGCGAGAGATACGACAGTGCGCGCAAAGTGGCGCTGAGGAACGACGGCAACAGCCTGATGCCCGAGATGCCGCACACAAGGCAGGCGAACAAGTACCAACTGGTGTTTGCGGACGATTCACCCGATTTCTGTGCACCCAATCCCAAGACGGGGGCCCTGGGCACACAGGATCGGGAGTGCAATGCCACCAGCTATGGGTACGACAGCTGCGATCACCTGTGCTGCAGTCGGGGGCACAAGCATCGAGTGGTGGCCGAGTACACGAACTGCAAGTGCGTCTTCAAGTGGTGCTGCGAGGTGACCTGCGAAAAGTGCCTCGAGCATCGGGAGGTCAACACTTGCCTCTGAATCGGGCTGAAGCGAGCACTACGATTATCACCATTATTATTTGTATTTTGTATTATTTCCTTTTGGTTTAGTCATGAACAGAATATTGAAAGCTTTCCATTTCGCGTGATAGAAAACACATACAGAGCAAACGTTTGGCTATAGTCCATTCTTAAGTATTAAATAACAGTAACAGGAGTATCTCTAATCTTTTAGATAGTTGTACATATACTACGATCACCTATAATCATGCCCAAGCATCATATCAGTCATATGGCATCCATGTAAGCTTTGTAAATAGTTTTAATAAAAGCCAAGAAAAACTAAATTGAAGCGAGAGTATTTTGGACACATTTCCGAGGGTATTTAAAAGTACAAAAAGAGCAAAAATATGGTAGGTATATTTGCACATTTAGTGCTAAGAATATTCAAAGGACTTTCGGTTCCAAGACCCCCCAGCGATTCACTTTTTCAACCCGATTTAGTCTCCATTTTACTCCCTGAGATTATCCCTAAATTAATGGCAAACAACAAGTTTTGTCTACAGCCAGAAACACAAAGTTGAGGCTAAACGGAAATGTATTTCAAATTGATTGAAATCTGCATAAGTGATTAAACTGAAATTAATGAAGACAACAGAGCACACAAATCGATTGAACAGTAGATGATGGGAAAACAAGTTCCCCATTCAAGTGTCTCCGTTTAATCGTATTTCGTATTTCGGTTTAAAGTCATTCGAATGACTTTCCTATAAATTAACACAATTTTATTGTTGTCGACACGAGAGATAGTAATCTATAGAAATTTGCCTAAACAGCAAACACAAAAGCTGAACAACAAAAAATAATAGTAAAAATACAAAATTGAACAGAATGAAAATTAATTTGCCTCTCTTTGCATAAATTACGATGCCCAGACAGCAGATCGATCGAGCGCCATATATTGTATCTCTGAATGCATAAATTAAGAAATCAATTCGTTGTCGCCAAATGCATGTAATTAAGTGAATATCATATTGTGATGTTCGATCGTGAGCAACGGAAGCAAACAAATATCCATTATAATGGTTGTTATGGGCTGGGAAATATATTGTTGGGAAGAGGGGGAACATTAAGACCAAGGTAGTAGAGAGATGAGTTGAAACGTTTTCTGTGTTTCATTATTTATTAATTGTGTTTCATGGGTGCGATTTCATGTAGATTTAGGGCATACTATGTATGTAGGATAAGTGGTAGAGAACTTTCTATCGGATCTTTATGAAGCTTAAAAGTGTATGGAATACAGTACATATATTTCTGTGTCTTTTTGGTAGAGCAAAAGCGAACGATTGATTTTATGGTTCACGTGACAAAGGGGCATCTCTTTCAATTTCAATGCTCGAACTTATTATGAGAGATGGGAAAGACCTTGAGAGAATGAGAGGAGTCGCGACTGCGTCTAGTGACCTATTATAATTATAATTTCAGAATATATCCAAAGAAATCAGCTGTTCTATTCTACACACCACAACAGGCCATATATTTACATATATTAAACTGAACAATCATTGACTACGCTACTGATTGATGCTGATTTGATACTCGAGGACTACAAATTAACATTAAAGGAAGACCTAGCCACATGTCACATTCACATCTCAACAGCCACTCTACACTCTCCCATCTCCCCGCCCATAAAGTACCATCCCAAAGCACCTTAATCTCTCAGCTTACGAGCCTCTCAAGAATGTCGAAAAAGCTGAAGCCGACTTTTCCAACGGCAAGACCAAGACTGGCACTGAATTCCAAGCCATTTGCCTATTCGGAGCTGTGGATTCTGTGCCGCCTCTCTCTCATTTGGTTTATTATTTCGGGGCTCGGGTCAATCTACCGTGGAGACAAGCCCATCCCAGCGATAAGATACACTCAGCCACTCGCGGCAGCAGCAGCACCAAAAGCAACAGCAACTCTCCAACAACTAATTAACAATCGCATTCATTTTATTTATCGTACAAATGCAAACCGCTTGACTTCCAAAAAAAAGTAAAAATAAATAAAAGAAACCAAAACTGTATCTGCATGCATTTATAAAGCCTCCAATGTGGGTTCGGGGGATTGGGATTGGGATCGGGATTGAGATTGGGGATTGGAATCTTGTGCTTCTTCGCGGCTGCCCGGGCTGCCACGGCTGCCCGGCTGCTTTGGTACACTTGACTGAACAAAATGTATGGTCAGAGTGTGCATAAGAGTGTGGAGAGCTCTCCTGAGAGCTCTTCTCCTCTCCATGTCGTTGTTTTTCCAGATTCCAGTGGCTTTATCTTGGGCTCGTTAATGAGATTTGCTTGTATCTGAAGCCATTCGGTAGATGCATATCAGCGGATTTCAATTAATTGTGGCGACGCTTATTAGTCATCCATCTAACAAACTAAACACGGCGCTGGCCCTGGCCCTGGCCCTGGCCCTGGCCCTGGCGCTACCAGACCATCCCTTTCCTTCCCTTCGCTTCCCTGCATCCTAGCGAGGCATTGACCTCAGACTGACCTTGGAACTTACAGATGGAAGATACAGATCATCTCAATAAAAATGCATTTTTATGGAGTTTCTAGGTCGATTCCCCGTCAGAATGCGGCTTCAATCCTTTCATGTGGCGCTTAAAATGGCGCCTGCCTATAAATCTGATTTATACATGTACATATATATATGGTATATCTTTGTGCAGCACCTAATGGCTTAATTTGATGGTGTACATATCGGTAGATGATCGGTTCGGTGAGTGGATCCTCTCAATGATCAACTGCTGCAACCATTTTCGCCAAATTGCAGTCTCTCTCTTTCTTTCTCCCTCTCTCTCTCTCTGCCTCTCTCTCTCTCTCTCTCTCTCTCTCTCTCTCTTGAAATAAGGAACCCGGGCAGACGGGGGGCGCTACAAACAATAAAAGAGAACAACTATTAAGACCGCTTGAACGCCTGTCCGGAGAACCAACAACAAAAACTACAGAAAACAAAACCTGAAACATGAAATTCCTGCGTAATTTGTAAGGAAAGGCGTGAAGAACACCAACGAAGGCAACACCTTAATTAATGTTATTAAAATGGAACGAACGACCGACGGATGGACCAGCCGACCGACTCGCCGACCGAACCTGAACCTGAACCTGGCCTGAACCACGTATCCCGGTACAGACCTCAGCCTGCAGAAGGCTCAAACCAAACCAAACCAAACCGAAAAAAAAACGTAGAAGGAAAGAACGAAAACCTGAAGAAGTCGAAAAGAAGAAGGCAAGCGTAAGAGAATGTGGCAAAAAAAAAAAAGAGTAAAGGAACGGAAAGGGAAGGGAAGGGAAAAAGGGTCCACAACTTCTTCTTTGGGTTGGTCAATCGCTTCGGATCGGGCCCTGACTTTGGCTCTGAACATGCACGTTCCGGTCGGTCGGTGGTCGGTGGTCAATGTTTAGTGTAGTGGAAAATAGGAGAACGGTCGATCGGTCGTCTGCCTCTAAGGGGCTTGGCTCTGTCAAAGTGGGGGAGTGTTCCATGGATTGGAACTTTCTAAATGTTTGATATTCAAAATAGGAGATGGGAAAATTCAACTAAGAAGACTGGCGCTTTTCCTTGTGGAAAAACTAATAGAATATATGTAGATCTAAAAAAGGACTTTATAGAAAAGATTCTTCATTCCTTAAAACAGGAGAATGATCACAAATCTAAGGGGAACCTAAGACTTATGCTTTGGAGACTTTCCGGAAAATAAGAGACTCTCTTAGAGGAAGGTTTCAGAGACTCTTTCAAGGACTCTTGACCCACTTCACTTCCGTAAAAGTTTCACATATCTGCACATACCTCTTACATCACTTTGGCTCCCAAAAGTGTACACAATGTTTCCCAAAAAGGTTCCCAGGCACTGAGGCAAAATATCGCCATCTGGTGGTGATCAGCCACGCTCCATAAGCAAACCACAGAGAAAGAGATAGAGAGAGCGTGGGGAGGGACAGATGGGGACTCCTGCCTCTTCTGTGGCTGCTGTCAATTGTAGCTGTGCCCATCGTTCTAAGACGTTAAGGCAGATTTATCACTGGACACTCTGGAGCGCTGACTACTTGACATATTCATTAAATTTGCCACATTGTTGCCTGGGAGCCGCAGCCGAAGAACAAAGCGTTGGGCCAGACAAAGGAGATGATGCTCATCATTTTGACACCTTAATGCGGTAATTAGGGTTTTTTCACCGGCTCTCTCAGACCACGAATGGCTGTAGCTGAGGCTGTGGCTGCCGCAGAAGAAGATCCTTAAAAGCCGATGATCATGAGCAAATATTAACACAGAGCATACAGCGCGATGCGATGCAGATCGGATCAGAGAGATGGATCGCAGATGGATGCGGAACGCCCTGGACCTGGGCCTGGGCCTGGACTCCTCCAACCTTTAACGGTTTACGGCGAATTGGCTTAAATTATTTAAAGATTACACAGCCTCCAAGGGAAGGCGCACACACAGACACACACACAATAGGGAAAACGATCATCACTCCGAACCGAACCGAACCGAACGAACTGTCTGCTGCGATCATGAATCCTTTTTTGGGTGTGAAGATTATGACACAGCAGAAATGGAAGGCAAAACCGAAAAACCGAACCCAACGTACCGAAACGGAACGAATGTGGCAGGCGGCAATTAATTTCAAATATTTCTGAGACTGTAAAGGCAGCTGGATCCCATCGCATCCCCGAGTTGATCCAAAGAAATTGCAGACAAATTAAGATAAATGAATTGTTTAATTGTTGCACGCGGCGGTGTGGGGCTCTGTGCTAATTTGACTTGTAATATGATAAATGTCCGAAGGGACTTGTGGTTGGATCTTATGTAAAGGCTTCAGAGGTGATATGCTGATCGGGACAAGATGTTTTCATGCATATTGGGAGCTAATTTCATTATGATTTTAGGGATATATCTGATCAATATTTTCCTTAAATTTCACATATTTTATACTATCTTCTTCCCGTATTATGGCATCCCTGAAAACATATTAGTTTATCATTAACACCCAGATCATATATCTCCAAAAGGCAAAAAGAACCATCAATCAAAGTCCTGATGTCTAAATAATTCTGTTGTTGTTGTTGTTGTGGGCTTTGTGGTGCTGTCTGTGCCACAAAGGACTACCGCACTAATTAATACTGCCGCCCCAGAAACTGATTGCCCAGACCGTAGCCACACACCACAGAGCCAGCTTCAAGATGCGTTCGTGCCTCAGCCTCAGTCTCAGTCTCAATCTCAGCTTAAGGTTCAGCTTTAACTTCAGCCACACACGACTCACGATCGCCATCTTCATC